GTCAGGGCACCAGGTGTCTTGGACTTTAGTGGTTCATGGAAATTCCTATTGTAACAATACCCTGCATGGAGTGGAAAATGGGAATTAACGGGCCAGTGAAACCTGTGGTGTTAGAATCTGAGTGTCCAAATGTACAAGATCAAAGAAACCGCCGCAGGACATGTTCCTTAGCTATACCCACACTCATTTTCGCAACCAGTTTTCATAATATCCATCTTGATTTATCCTATTTCTTCCTTGGTCATTACGTATGACCATTGCCAGGAATTTATCCCGCCACTGTTCTATAGGCATTCCTTATATTTGTTGTATTAACTATATGTTTAGCTTGCCATACCTTCCTATATTTCTTTGTCATGGAATGCTATATGGCCTGGGCACATCACTAAGCTCCTTGTGTAATGTAATGTAACGTACTTCATCACTCTTAGGTTAACAAAATCCTTGATCAGTACACTGTCCACACAATCCAGTCTCTGACTTACCACAATTAGAGCTTTTAATTTTGCAAATTGTAGCCTGTTCTATTCGTAGAAGAGAATTTAAGACCACCTGTTAGATTTATTGGCTGCATATGCTCTTCATTTCCAGTACTGTTAATTTTTAATCTAAATTATGTCATTGCACCTTTAAAACTGTCTGATGGAATTGTGGAAAGAGTGCCTGTAGAAACTCCATATGGAAACAGTCTGGCTATTCTATTGTTCCAATGCTGTCATAGGTTTTCTGCTGTTTAACTTCAGCGTTCAGTACTTGTGTTATGCCAATGTTATACAGAAATCGACATATTTCAACTTGATTAACAACTTCTCCCACTGTGAATTTTCAGTACCTTAATTATATTTTCAGTTTATTGTGTGCCTGTCAATTCAAACTTCCATTACATTGATCTCAAAAAAAAAAAACCTTGCGTGCAACATTCTTCAAGGAAATAAATCAGATAAGCGCTTTAATAGACTGCATATGCCAAATATCTTAAGATAACATATCATAACTACATTGTTATATCACTTATTTTGCTTGGGCTGTTTCTCATCAATCCTTTCTATTCCCCTATTGTGAATGTCATGAGTGAGTGGCCAGCACCCCTGCTTTGTACTTAGGAGGCCTCAGTTTCAGATATCAGCTGTACCAATAGAGGATTTTGTTCTCTTCAGTCCTTTCAAGCAAATCCTCAGATTAGGCCCTGACCACTTCCTTATTATAATAGTCATTGATCACCTTACCATTCAATTCTGTATAGTCTCAGCAACTGATTAAATAATTTAATTATATAAACCATACATTATATTTGTTCCCCAAGTTGGAATGATGTGCTAATCTGCTTAGGCTCAATCCCTTTTAAGTCTGCTAGATTATTTTCAAATAGTGACAGTAAGAGGCTCACACTTATACTCAGTGCTTGAGGTGGAATGAAAATAGAACCAGGATGGTTTTTCCCTTTTAATTTTTAGACATAAATTATGAAAATATGCCGAGTGATGTATATAGTCTGTGTTCCATCTAAGACCTACGAACATATTACAGTAGTTTAAATGGCATGCGTTAAAATAAAGTCACACATGCATTATGAGTACTTATCTTTAGAATATTTTCCAAAAAAGTTATTGTACATTGCATTTACTGCCAAAGAAGTAACGGGATGCTTTTAAGCCATTTTGAAAAGAACCGGGATGCCATCCCGCCCCACCTCAAGCCCTGCTTATACTGCAAAAATACTTCTGTTGTCCACACGAACATATGAGGGTTGGAACTTTAATAGTGGCAAGTATTATTTACAACTGATACAAAATAGATGCATGTTTCAAAGTTTTACTGTCCTTGATTGTAGTCACCACCATTGTGTACAACCCATTGCCAGCGACGTGGAAGTCACAGGATACCTTTAGCAGTGCCAGTTGTGCTGATAATTTGAATGGAGCGGTCTACTGCCTGAAGAATCTCTGGAACAGTTCTGAAGCGAATGCCACAAAGTGGTTCCATCATCTTAGGAATGAAGTCGAAGTCACAAGGGCTTAAGTCCGGGGAGTATGGTGGATGGTACAGCACTTCCCAGCCCCATCGATCAAACAAATCAGCCACAGCTTGTGCTGCATGCAGCCGAGCATTGTCCTGCAAAATGATGGGTGGGTTCTGCAGAAAGTGTCGCCACTTCTTTCTCAGAGTTGGTCGCCGGTTGTGTTCCAAACATGAACAGTAATATTGTGTATTGACGGTCTGCTGTGGGGGAACGGTATGCATTAGGATAACACCATCACAGTCGTACACGAGATTCACCATAACTTTCACACTGCTGGGGTTCTGATGAACTTTTGATTTTCGTGGTGACCCGTAATGACGCCATTCGTTCGATTGGCGTTTCATTTGTGGCTCGTACAATTTGGCCCATGTGTCATCATGGCGTAAGGAAGCCTCTCCTTCACGCTCATAGCGCTCCAAGTGGTTACGAGCAGCGTCGTATCGTAGCCATTTCTGCATTTCTGTCAAATCATGCGGAACCCTTCGTGATGCAATTTTTGTCAAGCCCAGGCGTTCCTTCAGAATGTGAAGCACAGTCGAATGCGCCAATCCTGTTTCCCGCGCAAGCTCACGAATCGTATGGCGTCGATTACTCTCCAAGTAACGCGGAATGAGCATACACTTCTTCACTGACACTAGAACAACCTGGCCGACGCGTGTCTGCCACATTTTGACGTCCCTCATTGAAGGGTTTTACCCACCTTACCACTGTTCTGTAAGGCAATGCAGATCCCCCGAAAGCCTCTTGAAGACCTTGATGACACTGTCGTGCTGTACGGCTTCTGGCACATTCAATCGTTATCCAACTCCGTTGTTCCTGTTTCGAAAACATCGTGACAACACTACATTAGACCGCCAGCTAACACGAGTCTCTGTACTTCTCGTCACTGCGCATGCACGTGAAGTGGGAAGGGAGAGTCCATTTGCTCCGAGTTAAGGTAGGTATGTAACTAATTTGTGGTATAAGCGTCATTATTTGGTTCCGTTGCATGGCGTCTCTACAGCAGTGTTGCCACTATTTAAGTTCCAACCCTCGTATTTATCTAGTGTACTATATCACCTTGGAAAATTCGTACAAATATTTCCTTGAGCTGTCAACAGCAAAAAGAACATTCTTTCTTCTCCCCCCAGAAAGGCAGTAGGAGCCACGTCCCATTTAGCTGCTTTAGTTGACCCATATGTCACAACAGAGTCAGTATCGTACTCAAGTAGTGATTCCATCCAGTGATCCTATCAGGCCCATGTTAGGTGGGTCCCTTGTTACCACGGCATGGCGCGTCCTCAGGTTGCGGATGAAAGGAAGCTGCAAATATATTGAATAAGTAGTCGCTGACAGCCGACAAGGGGTGGTCCTCCAGCTTGGGGGTTGGGCGTGGGGCTAACAACTCCTCACTGTAAAAGCTAACTTTGTTATGATAAAGCACACAAAGCCTCAGACCTGGACAGATCCTCTGGATAAACAACCTAAGCTAAAGAAAATGGAAACATGAGCTGTTGGTCTATGCCGATGATCTGAATCTACCGGGTGATAATATAGATACCATAAAGAAAAACACACAAACTTTAATTGATGCAAGTAAGGAGGTTGGTCTAGAAGTAAACACAGAGAAAACTAAGTATATGTTGCTGTCTAATGTAGGCAAAATCATGACATAACGATAGGAAACATGTTTTGAAAATGTGGAACAGTTCAGATATTTTGGGACGCTAACGAATCAAAACCTTATACAGGAGGAAATTAAGAGGAGCTAGAACTCGGGTAATGCTTGCTACCATTCAGTCCAGAACCTTTTGTCTTCTCATCTGCTGTCTGAAAACATAAAGATTAGAATATACAAAACTATAATTTTCCTGTGGTTCTGTATGGGTGTGAAACTTGGTCTCTGACATTAAGGGAGGAACAGGCTGAAGGTGTTTCAGAACAGGATGTTGAGGAGAATATTTCGACCACAGAGAGATGAAGTGACAGGAGGTTGGCAAAAACTGCATAATGAAGAGCTTCATAACTTGTACTCTTCTCCAAGTATAATTAGAATGATTAAGTCAAGGAGGGATGAGGTGGGCAGGTCATGTAGCACAAATGGGGGGAAGAGGAATGCATATAGGATATTGGCAGGAAAGCCAGAAGGACATGTCTGCAGTATGCTTTGAACAGATGAGAAATGTATATGATATTTTGGTCAAAAACCTACGGAGAGTTAGGGAGACATAGGTGTAGATGAGAGAACAGCACTAAAATGGATTTTAAATAAATGAGGATTGAGGGTTTTGATTGGATTAATCTGTTTTAAGGTGAGGTCCAGTGGCAAACTCTTGTAGACATAGTTACAAACCTTCAGGCTCCATAAAAGGTGGGGAATTCCTTGACTTAGTTATAAACGTATAGTCTGTAAGGATAATATTTCAAACTTAAAAAACTGATAGGACAAAGTGTGTAAGGTTGCAGGAACTTCACGAATTTGAAAATAGTCTAGCTGCATCTTTCAATGCAACCACTTTGTTACTGCTTATTCTTGAGAAATATCATGGGAAAGAAGAAGGTTGTATCAGAGACAATGATAAATAAATTTAAGTTTTCTTCTTCCCCCTTGAAAGCATCTAATTCACAAAGACTTCACTGACACAGGACAATACAAATGCATGAAACAAAATACAGAAAATCCATGCTCTACGTATTATTCAAACCACATGATCTCTGGGGTAGGAGGTCATAACCACCTTCAACTGTGAGGCCTGCATCACTGATTAACATGAAGCGCACTGTGATCACTGTGATCAGGTGAGGTAGAGAACTATACAAGTAAAATTAAGTTGGTTGCAGTTTTCTTCATTAAAGTATGAGGGCAGCACCTATATTAAGAGTTATATAATCTGGAATATAACGCTGTGTAGCCCGTTGAATGTCGACCGACGTTTCGGAGGCGCGATGTTCCTCCGAAACGTCTGCTGACTTTCAACTAACTGAACGACGTTATATCCCAGATGGCAGAACACTGCATAACCACCGCTGTGTGAACTTCAAACCCTTCAAATTCTACACAAACACTCTTCGAAACTTCGAAACGCCTGGCCCAGCCTTAATGAATGGGACGAAAAACATTCCGCATCAGTGGTCTGTGGTGCTCTTTGGTGCACGCGGGCTGTTCAGGCGCAAGCGCACAGTTGTTTGTATGTAGCGCATTTATGGTAGTCTTTGTCACAGTAAAATATGCACCGTTGAAGTCGTTCAAGTGCTGTCTTTTTTTTTCTGATTCCATTTTCGGATATTGTTTTTATCTGATGCTGCTCCGCTTCTAATATGGTTCATAAGAACATCTTTGCACCGTAAGAAGGAAGTTGAGGACAGTTTACGATTCTGACATGGCGATCGTAAATGACAGCTGATGTGGATTACAGTGCGAGACGATGGGAGCAGGTGACTGGGGTAAAATGTTACCAGAGCCGGATCTTCTGGGAAAGTATTTCCACGAACAGTTTAAAGTTCTCCCAGATCATCAAAGGTTAGATTTATGCATATATATATAATTTTTTTTTCTTCTTCTGACAAGCAGGATGGCAGGTTAACCTCTCGTAAAGACTTTTGCATTATGTTGAAAATTTCAGCGATGGATAACACATGAGATAGATGTCATAAAGTACTTTGGCACGCCAGAAATTCGTACAAAATACTGGAGAACTGTGAGTAATTGTTTCTGGAAGTCGTGACCGGGAAGTGTTTGTGCTAATTCGATTTAAGTAACATGTCATTTTCGGTAAATAAGATTCAGCTTTTGTTGAAACCTCCAGGTATAAATGTGTTCATAAGATCCTGCCGCCATTGGTAGCTGTCAGGAACCAGATGAATCCACGCGAAGTCCTTCACTTCAATTTATTTAATATTCATTCCATGCTGCTTTTCCATCTATGCATCCATCTGAGTGTTCTCTTTCCTTCAGGTTTCTATCAAAATTTTGCATGCATTGCACTTCTCTCCTGTGCATGCTATATTATCGTCCCATATCACCTACCTTTTCTTGATCATCCTAATAATATTTGACAAGGAGTTCAAATTATGAAATTCCTCATTATGCAGTTTTCACCAGCCTTCAGTTATTTCCTCTTATCATAGGCCCAGATATTCTCCTTGGCACCCTGTTCACAAGTATCCTAAACCTGAATTATTTCCTTGAAGTGAGGGGCCATTCTGTATTGTAGAACCCCGTTGCATTGTAATTCAGAGATATTTGTTCACTGTCTGTTGTATGCAATAGTTTGGTAATGTTTTGTCAGTTGATTTTTATTAATCGATTGCAATACAATCACCATACAGTGGACACTAAGGTGTTTGGTTCTTAGTACAGAATGTTTTGATAGTATTTGATCATCTTAAAATCAAAATACATACTCTCATTATTATTATTATTATTATTATTATAATTATTAGCATCATCATCATCATC